TATTCTAACAAGTGTTAGAGATAATATTTCAAAGAGAAAATCTTCTGAGTATTCAAAATCTTGATGAAATGAGAATATCTCATCTAAAAGAAAAGAATTAGCTACTGCTAGAAGAGATTGAAAAAATGATGTAATATCTGATGAAGAGTTCAAAGCTGTCAGAAATGAATATTTTTCAGATATTAAAAGAGCTAAAACAGACTTCTGAAATAAATTTCTTGAAGAAGCACAAGGAAAGGAAGTTTTTAAAGCTTTTAACTATACTAAAACAAGAAGTGTAGTAAAACTTCCAGCATTAGAATATGAGTTTCAGAATGAATCATATACAGCAAACTCTTTTGAGAAAAAATATCAAGCTTTCATGAGAATTCTCTTTCAGAACTCACCAGATTCAGATTCAGACTCAGAGAAAGAGAATATATCACTTCTCAACTACATTAATGAAAATGACTGAGAATGGTCTAATCTTACACAAGATGAATTAGAGTCAGCTATCTTCTCAAGTTCTGTTAAAACTGCTGCAGATCCTGATTCAATTAATCACTTGATTATTCAAAATACATATTTCTACTTAAAGAATGAATATTTTGAGCTCTTTTTCAATCTCTTGAAAAATGAATATCATTCTGAATGCTGAAGAGAAGTCACTGAAGTGATTCTTACAAAACCTAATAGAAAAACTTCAATTCCTAAGTCATATAGAGTAATATCTCTATTGAACTGTCTAGAAAAGGTTTTAGAAAAGATAATAGCTACTTAACTATCTTTTATAAGCTCTATAAGTGATTCTCTTTTATTCAGTGAACAAATGAGAGATAGAAAACAGTGTTCTGCAATTGACACTGTTCTCTCAGTTGTTCATGATATTCAAATAGTAAAGCATGAGAGTCTGATCTCAACTGCAGTTTTTATTGATATAAAAGAAGTATTTGATCATGTTTCAAAGTCAAAGTTAATTCAGACATTGAAGATATTAAAACTGCCACTTTCTCTAATAAAATGAGTTAACTGTTTTATATCTAAAAGAATTATACAACTCTTCTTTGATGAAATGAAACAAGACAAGACTGAGATAAAAATAGAAGTATCACAGAGATCTTCAATCTCACTTATTTTATTTGCAATATACACTGCATATCTATTCAAAAATAGAAATATGAGAATAGTGCAATCTCTGAGTTATGTGAATGATATTGATCTAGTCTACAGCTCAAAAAGTATCAAAGAGAATTTGAAAGTAATTGAAGAAGTTGTAAAGAAAATCTTTGTTAGAGCAGATATCAATCAAATTTAATTTAATATGAATAAAACTGAGTTAATTCATTTCTTTTCTAGATTCAATGAGAAAGAACTATCTCTAACTCTTTTAAATAGAGAGATTAAACCCAGTGTAAATGTCAAATGATTAGAAGTATGATTAAACTTCAAGTTGAATTTTAAATATCACATTCAACAAAGAACTGTCAAGATAGAAAGACTATTGAACAACATAATCAGACTATCAAATACAGAAAGAGGTCTATTCTTTCAGACTATGAGACAGTTATATATAGCCTGTATTAGACTGGCCGCCGGGACCATGAATTTCACATTTGGTCCCATTTGGTCTGGTCCCATACATTTCTTGGCGTGAATCCCGCTGGGACTAATCATTAAATAAACATGCAAAGTGACTATATATCAGATCTTAAAATGGAACCATGACTTGAAAAAAATGAGAAAGTGGTTCCATTTGGTCCCATTTAGTCCCATTCTTGGCATAAAGTTACTATTTTTAGACATTTTAAGGTTTTTTTTAGACTATTTTTAATTTTTTAAAAAGTAACACTTTTTGGTAACGCTCAAATGAGATTTAAAGCCATTTAAAGCAATAAAAATAATTTAAATTGAGAAGTGGAAATCATGGTCCCATTTGGAAAATGTGACAAGAGTAGACAGTAAGTCCCACTGGGACAGTATGAGACTACTATCTAATGTTAGAACCGTGTAATGGGATCTGTCGAATTGACAATGGGACTATCAAAAATTCTGGTCCTGGTCCCAGACACGGTTACACGGTCAGTCTAGCCTGTATTACATCAGTAGCTGATTATGAAGTTCAAGTTTGATGAAATAATCAAGAGAATTTCACTGAACTCTTTCAAAGTCTGTAAAACAGAGCCTTAAGAAGAATTCTGAGAGTATTCAAATCATCTTCTATTAAAGCAATGAAAATTGAAGCTTCAATTCCTCCTCCTGCTATTAGATTTGAAAAGGCCTGTATGAACTATGCTCTGAGAGTTATAAAGATGAGCTCAAATCATATAATCAGAGAAAGAGTCTCTTCTTCATTTCCATCAATTAACTCTGAAAATGAACTGAATTGAAATAGATTTCTTGATTGAAATGAAAACAATTCTTCAAAGAAAATGCCTTCTCAACTGTACAGACTATGCTCTCTGATTAAAAATCAATTTTCTTCTTTAAATGTTGAAAAAGTGAATCATGAGAAGTTATCTCTCTGGAGAGAAAAGCTTGAATCTCTTATAGACTTATAAATAAGTGAACTATCAAAAGAGAAAGAATATGAACAGCATTTAAAGAGAATTTCTACAATTAATATAAAAGACTCTATTCTGATTTATTCAGATGACTTAAAAAATGAGAACCTGAATAGATTAGATGCAGGCATTGCTTATACTGAAGATAATATCAATTTTATCTCAGATTTCTGAAATCTAGGCTGTGAATCTGAAGTCTTTGATGCTGAACTATTTGCAATAGTGAAAGCTATCAAACTCATTGAAATAAAATCTCATAAAAGAGAAAATTGTTTGAAAGAGATATGAATATTCTCTGATAGTCAAGCTGCTTTAAAAAGACTTAGAAATAGTCAGATTTATAATAATCAAATGAATCTTGAACTGATCTTAAACTCTGTTTTGAAAATTTAAAAGAGAAGAATATCAAAGCTGATAATTTATCTGCACTGAATTCCTGCTCATATGAATATTCATGGCAATGAATTGGCTGATTCAGCTGTAAAAAAGAGGGCAGAATTAAGCAGATCTGTTCAAAAAATTGTGTCCTAGTCTTTTATAAAGAGAAAAATAAAAGAATCTTGTTTAGACAAGTGAAATGAAAGCTGGTAGAAACAAAAGAAGAGTATATATTATTCAAGATTTGAAACAAAACTCAAGTGAAAATCTTGTTCAATTAAATGTAAAAAGAAAATATTCTCATCTATTATTATTATTATTATTATTATTCTTTCATTATACTCATATACAAGCGGAGCTTATTATGAGTCCTTGTATGATATTAAATACAGGTCAAGTGTTGATTATACAGGAGAAAATACAGATGTTGAGATCACATCAAGATAACAAGAACATAGAAAAATACAAAGAAGTGACAATTAGATACATGTGATAATAACTTCCCAGCTCAGGAACATAGAGTGATTCATTGAAGCGATTTGTACACCTCTGTATTTATTAGAAATCTGAGGTGCTTGAGTTCCGGATTTAATGTATTCTCTGCGGGTTTCGAACCCATGTGCCTTGGTTTCCCACGCCAAGGCGCTACCAGGTGGCCGCATTAACCATTCGGCCACCGGGGCTATTGTCATCTATAATACAGCTGAAACTAGGACATGACTATTTCAAATCTTATATACAAAGATTTGATGATAGATTTGACTCAATAGAATGCTCATTCTGCAATACAAATGAGAATTCTGAGCATATTATAATGCACTGTGTATTATACAATAGTCTCAGAGTCAGATTGAAAGAGAAGTATAATCTAAATTAATTAAATATAAGATTCTTATTCTCAACTGAGACAGGAATTAAATACTTAATAGACTTTCTATCAGAAACTCAAGCAGCTATAAGAAAATGACTAAATTCAGAATTATCTGAATATAAAGAGGAGGAAATTAATCAGATATAGTCTGTTAAAACAGCTATATACTATCTTTTAATAATTTGTTTTATTACAGTCTTTCTTTACTTTATCTTTTTCTTTCAATTTCTTTCTGTCTATCTATTTAATGTGTCTATCTTTAAGACTGTGTTCTCTTTTCCTTTGTCATGATATTGTCAAATGATTTCAAAGTATCAGAAGATGTTAAAACACTGTAATTTGTAAACAGTTTTTGTATTCTGAGCTGAAATTTTCTGATTTTGCATATCTGAAATTGATGAATGTATAATAGTTAACTTTACAGATATAGGAAAAACTCTGAGAACTAAAAGTTCTCAGGTAGATGTCATAGTCTCTGACTGTATACATCTATAATTGAAGAATAATAATAATAATAATCATTATTATCATTATCATCACTATTATTACTATTATCATCATTATCACTATTATTATCATCATTATCATTATTATTATTATTATTATTATTATTATTATTATATTATTTCTAGCCGTCTCTTCTGCCTTCATCTCTCTTCAACACTTATTAAAATCAATCATATCATTCCTCTTCAAATATTCTATGATTCTGTGAATCATCAAGGCGCATAAGCACTGTCACAGATTGAAGAAAGAGAAGAAAAAGGTATTTAAGTGAGAAGAGATAAATTATAAAACATATTATAATGTCTTAAAGAGACTTTATAAGAGAGTAGAATAATAATGATTTTAAGTAATACTTCTGATAGATTTAGACTGAACTAAGTATAGAAATAATACAGATAGCACTGTCTGTGAGAGATTAAAGAAAAAGATAGTAAAGAGTCTTATATAGTAGTGATAAGATCAGAAGAAGTTCTGAGAATAATTTAAGTACAAGATAAAAAGAGAGAGAGAGATAAAGAGTATTACTGTAAATAAGCAGTGATAGAAGAAGATTAAAAGAGTGTTAAAGTAGAAAATAAAGAAGTTAAAACTGATAAGTTTTTTACTTATTAAGAGATAACAATTTTTAATAATACTTCTATTCTCTAATTGATTAGCAGAAGCTGATAGAGAAGAAGAGAATTAAGACCTTATTCAGATATCAAATGCACTTCATAATTCAGAATATTGAGAAGACAGCTCTGCTCTCTGAGCATGTTAATTTACTTATCACTGAGATAGAATCTGAGACAGCAGATCAGCAAATGCAGGATTTTGAGATACAGAATGATCTGACTGAGAGAGAGCAGCAGAAACCCTCTTCTAAGAAGATAGCAGAGAGAGATTTTGAGATGATTATCATCTCAGATGAGAAACAGAAGAAGAAGAAGAATGAGAAGTGAATTATAAAGAATGATAAGAAGAATAAGAAAGAGAAGAAGTAGAAAAAGTTTTTTTCTTTTTATATTAGTTAGTTATAAGTTTAAGTTCATAATTATTAATAATTAAAATTGATTTTGAGTTTTTAAAAATTATTGTACAAGTTGTAATCAAGTCAGGAATAATATATATATATATATATATTTAACTATCATGATTCACAAATCACTATAATGTATAAGTATCAACATTTTTTCAACATTGATATTCATAATATTAATATATTTTTAATGATATTATCTGATAATATAATTTGATAACACTCTCTTTCACAATATTAATATATTTCAAGAAATATGATAGAGATTAATCAAGATTATTTATTTACTTTTATACATCAATGATATTCAATCTGAGTTAGTACTAAAATTATAACTAAGCTAAGAAATAAAATTATTTTCTCTTATATTAATTCTTCTTACATACATCAGTGATCAGTTATTGAAAATAAATTATTATCTTTCTTAAATTAGTATCATATCTTCTGAATTCACTTCTTTCACTTCTTTTACTTCTATTAAAGATTCATAAACTCTTCAAGAAATCACTATGAATTATAAAGTCTATGTTATTTACAATTTAATACAGAATACTCTCTTTCAATTATAATGAATAATCACTTCATTCTTCATATCTGATTTCAGGTCATAAAATTTATAAAAAACTCAACACAAACACTGAGATAAACTATGAAATAATTATCAATAGATTGTATTATAGATTATTGAAGAGTCATCTCTCTGCTAGAATTACTATAACTTTATTCAGAAACATTCATTATAAACTGATTATAACTTTGAAGAAATTTTCTGACATCTGAAGTCATCAGAATACAGATAATAAAAGAAAAATAATCAGAAATTTATTACTAAGCTGATAAGTTACTCTATCAGATAATAATTTTTAATAACACTAACTTTCTAATTTAAAGAAAATTATGTGAAAATAATCACATATTAGTACTCTGATTTCACAACTCTCATCTAATAACTTTTATGAATAATTAGTTTATATATGTATATCTCTGAATCTTTCTCTTTAATTAATTGAAAATTCTGAATTCTGAACACTTCTTTAAATACTTAATTCAAATCTTCATATTCTACATCAATTCTGTCTTTGATTCAATCTCAAGATACACTATAAAGTTAATATACAATATCTAGAATCAGAGTTAAAGAATTATCAAAGAGTGTCTCTCACAGTGAATATATGAACTAGTATAAACAATCTTACATTTATGAAAGTTATATGTTATTATATTGATGAGAACTGAACTTATCAAGAGATATTAATTGAATTTGAATCATTGATCAGTAGTCATACTGAGAATTATATAACAGAGATATTAATAACTGTGATTAAAAATAACTATTGAGATATTAGTCTCAGTCTTCTTACAATTATAACTGATAATGCTATAAATAACTATACTATAATAAAGAACTTGAAGCAAAAATTGACTTTGTATTTCTGAAATAGTAAACAAGGTCATATTTTCTGTATTACTCATGTGATTCAACTTATGATATAAATACTAGTAAAGAATCTTAATATCAAGATAAAGAATAATAAGATAACTGATTCTTGAGATGAGAATGAGATGAAAGTAATTACTCAAGTAACTTTTACATTCACTTTGTAAAAGATAATGTTTTTTAATAATACTTTTTAATATTGTTTTTTAATAATGCTTTTTAATAACACTACTGTTAATTTTAAATAGATTAACTAATAATTTGAATATCACAGATTTAAAACATTGCTAATATGATTTATATCTTCTCTAAATAATAATAATAATTTCATAATATTTAATAAATAAATAAATCAGTCACATCACTGAATATGATACAGAATATTAGAATATAATAAAGTTCAATATATAAGATAGACTGTTCAGACTCTTCAATTATATCAGATAATGAATCATTGAGTGTAACACTCTGATTAGAAAAAGATTCAGATATTAAAACTTTCTGATATGAAGTGAACTCAGTTGAAATATATAATTGATTTACTGTTTCAGTTTTATAAGATAATAAAGACAGTCTTAATCACTTATACATCAATGCTGCAGTCAGTCTGATAAGTGTATAACAGTTTATTTACTTATCTTAAGAAGTAGTTGAATCACTTAAAAAGAAATTCAGTCTGAGATAATATTATAGTGCAGACTATTATTACTGTAAGAGATAAACTAGCATATTATTACAGTAAAACTGAACAATCTTTTGCAGAGTACTATACTATAGCAGCTCTACTAGATTTCTTCTATTAAGTTAATATCTACACTTCTCAAGATTGAACAGAGAAGAAATGAGACTCATATATTAAATTAGTCTGAGATTACTATAATACTAACTATCAGAGATTTGAATAAGCAGATGTTTGAGATATAAAGACAGTGAAATATAATTCTCTAGTAAGTAACAATCTTTGATAACACTTTATATTATATAGAACTATAATACTAACTTTGAAACAGAACTTGTATATATTGAATATAACTGAAAATCAGATAAAACTATATACTCGTAAAACTGAATTTAATCACTATCTTCAAGATAATCTGATGAATTTACACATTAAATCAATTCTAGAGTTATAAAAAATTATTAAGAGTATATATTCAACTGTTATACTGATAATATATGATATTCTGATAATTTCATTGATAGAGATAAGAATGAAGTGAAAGTTCAACTCAAGTTAAGATATTTATCACTATTATCAGAGACAATTAGAAGAAGAAATAATGAAGAAACTCATAATTGTAAAACATGAAATTATCAGACAGTTTAATACCTCTGATTACAGTATATCAGAGAAGTGTAGTTTTTATAAGAAAGTGAAGAATAAACTTACATAAGAATGTATTTAGTTATTTCATAAGTGTTATTAATAATTATTATCAAATTCTGATTATATAAGCAATCACTGAATGAATTAAATGAGACTGATTTTGATCTTCAGTCTCAGTCTCATTCTGATTTTGAAAGAATGATTATCTTTCACAGTTTATTCTGAGAAATTACTCTCATTTCACTGTTCTTGAATTAAATCTAGTCATTTTTCATGTCATTTCTCTCAGAAATGTTTCATTTTCAGATTTTTTTAAGGCTTGATTCTGATGAAAGTCACATCAAGAAATGTATAAGATCAGATTAAATGAGATCAAATGTGAAATTCATGATCTCACTGATCAGTCTAGTGAGAACTGTTAATAGAGAATCTAGACATATTTGTATATATTTAATCAGAGATTATATAAGTAGAGAGAAAATGATTATAGATCTATAAGACTGCAGAGAATACTAACAGTACTGAAAGCTTTGCAGAAACTGTCAGTTAGAGTCTGTAAGAAATTACTTACAGAGAGACTTACAGTAAAGAGTGAGACTGTACTACTTAGAGTCAGAAACTGATCTAAGAAAGATATGAGATTAATCACTGATCTGAAGATTAAGTACAGTAACAGAGCTGAAAGAGATGAAGATACTGTTATAAATAATAATATCTCTGCTTCATCAGTCAGTAAAAAGTAATCAGAGAAGTTATAGAGATATTCACAAGAAGCTCAGTAATAATCAGATATTATTTATAAAGATATTAAAATTAAAAAAAAAATTTATTCTTGAGAAGTTCTTAAATAAATATATGAATATTATCAGAAATACTCTCTCTCTGTCATCTGAGTAGAAACACTTCACAGATAAATAAGAATACTTACAGTTATA